GGGGGGGGGGGGGAAACGGGCTCCTCCAAAGGGGCTCCCCCCTCAACTCACGTGGACCGGGATGTAGATGTCGTAGTTGTTCCCCGAGTCCACGTCGATGGCGTGGAAGCCGGCGCACGAACCGTAGATGACCTTCAGCCGCTGGCCTTCCTCCACCGTCAGCTCCACCAGCAGCGGCCGATGCGGCAGGTCAGCGAAGGACTGTAGGGAGAGGGAGGGAAAGAGGGAGGGGAGGGAACGGGAGCGAAGTTACTCACCGGAGCTGCGAGGGAGGCGGGAGGACAGAGGACACCCCTCCCTCCCCTTTCCCGAGCCCTTCCGCCCGGCGGTACCTTGAAGGCCATGAACTTGTGGTAGGGCTTGGGCGCCCAGGCGTACACCTCCACCGAGCTCTTCAGCGCGATCACCAGGAACTTGATCCGCTCGTACTTCACTGCAGGCGACGGGAGCCCCGTCAGGGCCTGGGCCTCAAGAGGGACAACCCTCCCCTCCCTCCCCCCGCCCCAAGGAAGTCCCCGTTGCTTAGGGGAGGCCGGCGATCTCCGCCGGGGCTCCGCTCTGCTCACCCACGCGGTAGTGAATGCATCCCTCCATGTCCCCCACGGTGGTCCAGCCCTGTTTCTTCTCCACTTCGGGGTCGTTGTGCAAAATCTTGTTGCGTAGCCAGGAGAGGTAATAGACGCGCAGCTTGTTCCTCTTGCCTAGAGAGGCAGGGAAAGGGGGCGGGGGATACCGGGGGTCACCGCGAGCGAGGCGGGGAAGGGACTCCGGGCTGTGTCCCCGGACACGCCCCCCGCGCGCGCACCTGAAATGGTGGTCAGGAGGTTAAGGCCCTCCAGGACATCCATCTGCTGGAAGCGCCGGCGGTTGATGAGGCTGTACACCTTGCCTTGCCCGCTGCGGTCCAGCAGCATCAACCCGTTCTCCGTGCCCACCAGCAAGTTGACCCCTGGGGGGAGAAGAAGATGAGCGTCCCATCCCAGAAGGCACCCCCTTCCCTGGTTCCACACACAGACACACACACACACCCTCCGGGCACCGTCCGTCTCTCACCCCAAAGAGCCGCGCAGAGGATCTCCGAGTTGAAGCGCTTCTTGTACTTGCGGATCTCCGGCGTGTCGCTGTGGGGCCGCGTGTTGGTGGGGTTGACGTTGACCACCGAGCCTTTCCGGGCCTCCAGCTGCAGCTGCTCCAGCCGCCCGGCGTCGAATGCTGCCAGAGGAAAAGAGGCTCGGGGGTCAGAGAGAGAGAGGGAGGGAGAACGAGGGCCACCCACCCACCCGCCCAGCGCCGGTGGGGCCAGTTGCTCCCCAAGGCCCCTTTCAACCACACAACCATGGCCCCCTTCGGCCCCCGTGGCAAATCTGGACAGAGTCCTCCGGAGGTCCAGCGCCCCGAGTGGCCCCACCGTCGTGGCTCAGCCGAACTCACCTGTGATGGGGATGGTGTCTCCTCCCCCAGGGGAGCTTTGATAGATGCCCAGGTCCACGAACATGGTGAAGGAGCTCTTGCCGGGGGCCTTGACGAGCCCCCGCGACTGGTACTGCGGGCGGGGAGGGGAGGGGAAGGGGTGTTAGAAATGATGGTCCCCTCACACTTGGGTTGGCAATCTCTAAACCAGGATGGTCATTGGCTGAGCTTCCTCCAACGGCCATAAGATGGAGCCAGAAACCTGGTTTGATTTGGTTTCGCTTTCCTTTTGCCTTTTGATCATCGTTCTGCTGGAATTGCTGTGAGTCTTGCAACTGTTTGCAAACTCCACTTTACTGAAGTTTGTTGTTGATACTAAAGAAAAGAACTTCGTTTTTGGATGATCCCCGGACGGATTCTTTTGAATACTAACTGCTTTAACCGCGTATGATTTGGACGGTTTGTTGGACTTTTGTCTACCCGTTTACGGGAAGTAAAACCTACATTTGACTATTCAGGGTATCTGTGTGCTGGTTGTGTGTTATTCGTCACGTTTCCCTGAGTGCGCTCATTCTCCTAATGGGGGATACCTCAACAAGGGGGTCAGGCCAGGGCCCCTGCCAGAGGGCAGAGCAGCCCTCTCCCCCTCTCGACCCAGAGTGCCAAGGTCGCTGGGCAGGGGGAGGCCGTGACCGGGGGGCCGCCCTCCTCCAGCCCCCAGGCCGCCCCAGCCACTCACGTCGGTGGCCATGTCCTTGGTAGGCGAGGAGGAGCCGTTGCTGCTCTTGGCTTCCGTGGGCGAGTGGCTGGGCTGAACCACGTCGGGCAAGTTGGTGTAGCCGTTGCTGTCGCTGTGCAGGAGGCCACGTTCCTCCTCGGGGGTCTGGAGAGGGGGAAAGAGTGGAGGGCGGGGGTGCTCACGGCTGGGTCGGGCCAAAGACGAGGTAGGCCGTTCCCGCCCTCGATTACGCCGCAGCCCAGCGGGGGGCAGTTTGGCCAAGAGGGAGGGGAAGCTCCCGCCGGACCCCCTTACGGCGGCCTCAGGGACCCAAGGGAGGGCAGAGGAGGGGCCTTGGGGAAGGAGGGAAGGGCGGCTGCCCAGGGACACCAGATGAAAAGACGGCCGAGAGGGAGTCGCCCCCAGCTGATCCGGTGGGAGAAAAGAGACTCCCGGTTGGCGGGTCGGTGGGCTCTGCAGTCTCAGACCGGCGAGGTTTCCTCCAGGCGGGGGCCCCTCCTGCAGGGGGGGAGGCCACCCTGGGTGGAGGGGACTGCTCACCCGCTGCACCAGCATGGTGCCCTCCCCGTAGGAGCTCTCGGAGCCCCCGCTGCCGCCCGTCAAGTCCTCCACGTCGTGCACCACCATGGTGCTGACCGAGTCCGTGTCGCCGTCCCTGCAGGCCGGGAGAAAGGCGGAGGAGATGCCGTGAGAGCCCCGGGAGGGAGGGGTGTGTGTGAAAGGGGGGAGCCCAGAAGAGAGACCGAGCACCCCCCTGCGCCTCCACACACACACACACACACCCCTCCTCACCTGGCCCCAGGGGTGCTGGTGCCGGCCTCGGAGCGCTCTCCGTCGCCTGCCTCCTCTTCCTCCTCCTCCTCTTCCTCCTCGTCCTCACTGGAGTCCACCTCTTCGCTGGAGGACGAGTAGTCCAGGGCCTTCTTGAGCGGTTTGGGGGCCGCCTCCTCCGGGCGCTCCTTGAGCAGGACGAAATTCTAGAGGGGGGAGGGCAGGGAAAGAGGGAGGGAGGGGTCCGGACGTTCATAAAGGCTCCAAGCCATTGGAGGGGTATGGCAGAGGATCCGATTCCTCTCCCCCCGTCCCCACGTTGCAGACAGGGACATGACTGGCTCTCCCCCTCTCGCGCCCAGCGTGCCCCGGGCCCCTTCCCCGCAGGACGAAGGGCTCAGCAGAGGGAGGGGCAGAGGGGGAAAGTAGGGGAGAGAGGCAGATTCGGGGAGAGAAGTCGGCACTAACCTCACCAATTGCCCGCTTATAGCTCTGAGTCATGCAGGAGGAAACAGAAAGGGAAGGGGGGGGAGGAGGAAAAGATTAGGCTGCTCCGCGGGCCCCTCCCCCCCCGCCCTCCCCCCCTGCCCAACACCAGGCCCAGGAGACCAAGGGGAGGGGGGGCTTCCTCCGTCTTCCCCCCCCCC